GGAGTGCTGCATGCGCATTGGGAGTGTTGCGTGCCTTTAACACAAGTTGGGAGGGAATGAATGAGTGGCCTCATTACTCAGCAGTGGGTAGAATTCCTAGAAGTGCTGCCATTTCTGAATAGAACAGGTTCCAAAAGAAGTCGGTTTGGAGGGCTGGGCAATAATTACATTTGGTGAGTCGGTTGATAGAAAAACATTGGATCAAGGTTTTACTGAAGAATCTTTTACCTGATTCATGCCTCCTTTCACCACTGAAGAAGTTACAAAGGGACAGAAACGCCCTATGCAGGCATCTTGTGAGTAGGAGGTGCACTCTGTTGTTTGAGTCACTGGTGCATTCAGATTTTTGTAACTGAATGTGACTGGAAAATAAAAATCATAAGGAAACGGGTGGAGAAGTAATAAGGCTGAGTCAGAACTTAATGGGAACAAAAATATTTTAAAGGAATTGTGTTTTTTTTTTGTTTTGTTCTGTAAATGATTTCAATTAGCATATGAGAGAAAAAATTCTGTACTACAAGGACTGGAAGGAAAAGGGTATTTGGGCCATTTTTCATCTAATGGAACCAAAAGGTGATATTCTAGATTACACAGAATTTAAAAGAAAATATAACTTAGATTGCCTGCAGAGATAATTCCTATCTTTCCCACTCTTCTTATAGAAAAATACGATTTTAAGCATCTCAGATTCAACAACAAAATGATAAGTGTAAATATAAACAACAACTTTTTCCCTCTCCCAATAAAGAGGAATTTATCTTTAACCCTTTATAGACCACCTAGTGAAATACCAATATAGTTAAAATATCAATAGTGTTATTGGAATCCAGGGCAAGACTTTATTACCTTATCTTTCCAAAAGATATGGATATTTTGATGGCAAAAATTATTGTCAATGTTAAGAAACACCAACTTTACGAATATATATATAAAAAAAAAAAAAAAAGTTGTTCTTTAAGAAATTCGTGAAAAGCACTCTGAGAGTGAAATAAACAAATTTACACTTACATTTTTTAGTTTATAAACCTAAATATAATTGTTAACTAGGCTTATTACCTTTTTAACTTTACATTTTAACTTTTCAATAAGCTTTTTACCTTTTTTTTCTTGACTTGTTAACTTTTTTTTCTAACTTAATTTCCAGTAGATAATCTATCATTTAAGGGCTCATCTAATTGGTCAAATGCCAAAATGAGATGTAGAGCTATGTAGCAGGATCTTTGCTGAATGGCTGGATATAGATCTAGTGCTTCTAGACCTCACTGAGGGACGGGGGGCTCCATTTTTAAGGGGTATAAGTGATCAAAAATGTTAACTTGCTATATAAAGGGTTAAACATGTTTTCTGAAATGGAAGTTATTGAGATCACAACCAGATTTTCAATTATTTTCTGTATTACCAAAGATGAAAAAGTATAAAAACTATAAATAATTTCCATACCTGTGCAGAGTTCTTTTATTTTTTTTTTTGAGATAATTATCATTGATGATGTGTGAGTTTATTACACCTTGGTATTAGCTGCCTGTTGTTTGTCAGAACTGATGTTTTCCCTAATAGTTTATGTAATTAAGACAGTTCCTATGTCCAGATATACAGTTATAATCCTAATAATCTTCATTCTGTGTGTGGCAAATATTGGGGAATGGAAAGAGAGCGGCGTCCTTCAGCTAAGAACAAAGTGTAATATTGTGTCTGCTCATGTCTCCTCATCTGCTAACATGCATGATGTAATGATGTGGTGATGTGGCAGACTGGAGATGTATAAAACGCCTTTAATCTCAGAATTCTGACTTATTTTTTCAGAATTCTGACTTTTTTCTCAGAATTCTGCCTTTTTTTCTCAGAATTCTGACTTTTGTTTCAGAATTCTGACTTTTTTCTCAGAATTCTGCCTTTTTTTCT